CAAAGCCTCTTTCTGCGTACATGTGTGTGTGCACATGCACCCATGCATGTATCTACGCTTGTATACACATCAAAAGCTGAATAATTCAGCCATGCAAACCACAATCCTCTCAGTGGAGACACCACATTCAGGGCACTCCTCCTCCTCCACAAAAAAGGATGTCAAGGCTTCTTCTGCATGCACTTAACATTATACTGCACCCTTTTCCACTGCCATTACCAGCAAAACAACAAAACAACCACCAGCTCTGTTGACTCAGTTCTTAATCATACTAGATACAAAACAGACACGGAGGAACGGGCAAGGAATGGCTTTAGAAAAAAAATTAAATAACAACAACAACATTTGATCCTATCAGACTGGATTTTGAAACCTTAAATCCGGCTCCACACAAACATAGCCTGGCACCACTGTAACTGTTACCATACTGATTTCAGGGACAGGCTAGAGGCGCTCCACTTTCAATTTAAAAGGAAATTAAATTGTGAAATTTCTGCAGTATGACTTTGAAATTACTCCCTCTGTGACATGTCGCTCCTTCAAGTGTATTCTATCGTTGAAGCTGGAATGATGATGATGCGCGCTGTTGTTGCACTTGGATATTTATTTGACATAAAATTATTATACAGTAATTCAGAGATTAAATAAAAAATAGATTCACTGCCCTCTGCTGGAGAAGAGATTTTAAAAGTTTGATCAGAAACTCACAGAACTGAATCATCACACAATGAGAAAAGAGTGCAAACTCGAAACAAAACAGCTGGCACTGAGGCGCTCTATTATACAGTAGGCATACACATGCGACATTCCCGCACGTGAACATATGCAAACAGTGACCGGTGACAGCTGCGACCTTTGCTGCAGTTCCTCCACCCCCCCCTCCCACTTCTGCTGTGAGTCTTCACTCTGCACCCAGGCCACAGGGTGAGTATCAGGTAAGGTTTTAAATAGTGGGGCCTCCACAAGATGACCTCAGGGTCTCAGGGGTCTACCCCAGTGGCCCCCAGCCTCTGCACTTATGCCCCCCAAGAAAGCACTCCGGGACCGAGGCCCTCCCCTCAGTCTGCAACCTTGAGACTACAATCCACTGCCCTGTGCCCCAGTCCCACCCATAAATCTGGAGACCACAAGCTCTTTTTAAACTTGAATCATTCATATAATTGCCATACATTTGATATCAGACACAACTGTCAGGCAATTACACTCTTTTTCCTTCTTGGTAATAAGTTTCCATAGGGGAAAGAGATTCAATTTTCCTTAACCAATCATTACGGAGCAAAGTGTCTGACTGGATGTAATATATTTCTAGGTCAACACTGATGTGTAGCCATGTCAACATGTCAGTGGTTTTAAGATTGGAGCACAGCTAAGTTAAAATAAACTCTGACATCGGTCAATACTGCAAAAACATGCCGTTTACGTAGCAGTCGCCAGTGTTAACACGAAGCCTCTGTCTTCTCCTCCAGTTGCTGTTCTTCACTTATCCTTCATCAAACCTCTTTGGTCCACAGATTCACAATTCTGGATCCTGAGGTGTGATGAGAACAAAATGCAGCCACTTAATTCATCCTCGCTTCAGTCTAGGCTGAATCTATAGACTAAATAAAACTCCAGCCATGATTACCCCACAGCTCCACATCGTCGGCTTCACCCCTGGCTTCAACTTCAACCCTTGCCCAGAGCTCAAGCTTCAAAGGCCCCAATTTCCAAACCATCCCCTCCCTGCGTCTCCTCTTCCCAATCAGCACAGCTCCATAATCTCCAGCCTTTCTCTCCGCAAAGAAACGGAGCAAAAGAGAGAGGGGCTGTCCTACAGGAAGGCCAATGTTTATGTGATACTGTTTTAATTAGTGGCAGGCAGTGCTCCTATTTTCTTTACAATTTGGCCTGTTTTTGCCATAACCTAGAATGCCAAGGGATGGCTCCATTTTCCATTTGCAGCCAGGAGGAAACCTAAAGGACTCTCATTCCTCGCTCGTCCATGTCTCTTCTCCATGAATGTGGCTTATTGTTAATCACTGCAAGATCATCTAGATGATCTTCAGGTTTAAGCTGAGGATGCATCTGAGGTCGCAAGCCAGTGAGCATGTTTTCCAACACTGAGGAAAGCACACAGAGAGCTTCAGACCACAATTGTGTGTGGGGAGACAGTACACCACAATACTACAGCTTCCTGTTTGAACTAATCATTTCCTGTGAGTGGATATAAACACAGAGATTGTCTGTAGTGTGGATACAATCTGCCCTAAATAGAAACCACGGTCACTTTGATGTTTTCTAAGTGGGAAAACAAGACTGAAAATCTTACGATCTTGCCCCGATTGTTAAGTAAAGAACAAACTTCCATGCATCCTCAGAGGTCTGACACCACTGCGTCTTCGTGCAGGCATGCATCTCACTCCCAATTGGTCTCTGTCACTTTGTCTAATAAACAGAACTTCCTGTGTCAGAGTATTTATAAACAGTGCTGAGTGAGCACTGTGTGAGAAAAGACAATCCCTGCAAAAGCTGTGGCACGTGACCTACAAGCTAACTGCAGTAGAGACTTAACGGCGGTCTGCCGGAGACCTCAGCTGCTCTGCAGCTATCAGAAAGCAGGTGACGACCAACACGACACGAGATCGCAAACGTGAATGTTGCTCCGGTCAACACTGGAGGAGCTGAGAGATCTGATGGGAGCTGGGCTGTATTGTATGAGCGCACGCATCCACAGGCCACACAGCTTCCACGTGGGGTCGTCCATGGGTCGCCTGCAGTTCCAACCAAATGAAACATAAACAGGCACTCTGTCCTCTCCTCTTTTTCCTCTCGGACGATGGGCCAGTCCCCCAGCACGGCCCAGCACAGCCCAGCACAGCGTTCCACGGTCCAGGCAGAACTAATCTATCCCTCAGCTGTGCAGTCTAATCTAAACAAACAGATCTCTCCCTACCAGCATCTGGAACCCCTCACTTATCGGGATGTAGAAAACCACAGCAGCCCTGTCTTGTAGTCAGAGCCTGTGTACGAGCAGGGGTTCGCATCTTGGTGTGAGCCAGTATGAGACCATTTTGTAGATGCCTACCAGAGGTCACTACACTACTTGTGTGTCAGTCAAGGTCAGGTTCAGTTCTGTCAACACCAAAATTTATTGGTGGAACAAAACAAAAGTGTACAGTCACTCTGGGTTTGAGTATCCTGAATTTGATGCAACACCAGCAGCGCTAAACTTGCAACAGAATCAGCTGAAACATCTGAAAATGCTGATAAATCACAAGTTACCAGACCTTGCAAGGACAAAAAGGTGCATATAATAATGGGAAACTGAGAAAATCTAAAAGTTCTCACATTTGAGAAGCTACAAGAAGACCGTTTACCTACTGAATCAATAACTCTGAAGCTATAGCTTTTAGTAATTTTAACCTCAGTACTCTGAAGAAGCTGAAATAAGTCTACAGTTTGCACTTGCAATGTATCTTGAAGCCAAAAGACTTCATTGCTGTCCTTTTAAATATGCTTTAAATAAAAAGTTTGCCAAAATGTTTCTAAACCCCGTTCTTTGAGAAGGGCAGCAGTATGAGAAGGAAGAGGCCAAAAATGATGCTCTTAGTGTTTTTTAGTAATTTTGTTAAAATCCCACACAGCGTTTAAAATTAAATCAAACAGGCAACAAAACGGCGACAGGTCCCTGCAAATCTTTGATTTATTCATTTTTTTACATAAATTACAAGAAGTTATAAATATATTACTAATTCATTTGAGCACTTGTGTGTAAGAGTAAAGGATGCACTGTGAAGTGTGCAATAATATTCAGTTCCAAAAGGTGCCGGTCACTTTAGTATACGTGACCGTGGTCAGACATGTGAAAGGGTGTGAAAACAGTGCGATCCTCTGAGTATAATCAGGATTCCTATCCCAAAGAGGCTCCCCTCTGCCTAAACTGTTGCCAACTGCGCCTGCGCCGCAGATTAGAAGAACACGCTGTCTGTCAGACCCCTGCAGCTGCACGCAAGGGGAGAACAGCCAACCCCGGGCAGGAGGTGTGGTGTTTGATCTGTACAGGAATCAGTTTGCTTTAGTGCTTGATCTTGTTAACTTTTTTTTTTAAACCTGAGACAAAGTGGTTTAAAAAAGTTAAAAAGGCAACCACACAAGCACACGCTAAAAAAATGCATTCATTTTTATAACCAAACAGTACTCCACTTCAATTTCTCAACAAGTCTGCTCCTCCATTCATGACTCCTACAGCCAACTCTACCCATAAGCGCAGGAATGTGGATCAAAGGAAAGGAAAAAAAGCTCAGCCCCTTCCCCTTAAACCCCCCCACAAGCACCACCCATATGCACAGTTTCTTTCTTCCTTATATATTTTCACTCTTCATAAGTTGTTTAGGAATTTCAAAAACAAGGAAAACTAACAAATGTTCCATCCACCCCGCAAACACGAGTTCCTGCCCTCACTCCGCTTTTTCCCTGCAGCCAGAGACAAATCTTTTTGGAAAGTTGAGAGCTGTCCAAAACGGGACCACACACAGTCAACTGCTGGGGGCAGGCAGGCAGACACACACACGCGCACACACACACACACACACACACACACACACTCACACACATCTCACAAAATGGCGGCTTTCACAAAAATTTCTTCTACCCCGAAAGCCCCTTATGAACTTAATTACAACTTGTTATGAGCATAGTTACACTCAGCCCTTGCACATCTTATGTGTGCATCTAGAACGGTTTTGGAAGCTAAGTGTGTTGGGAATAGGCAAGTATTTTCAAGTTTTGCTTGGGTGCTTGCCAGCACCTATACAATAAACAATCCCTATACCTACTTCATTAAGTAACACCAACAAACCTTCTTCCTCCAAACTAAACTGTGTCAAATTCTTGGAAACATGCAATATGAAGTCAAACAGTTTCAAAAGCACTGAAATAAAGAAAAGTCCCAGCAGGTCACACTTAAAAACATCATGAATTGCACAGCTTGTCAAAAAACAAAATAATCAAGAGCGTCTTACCTTCCACCCAGAGTTTCTCCACATCCGTTTCCAAATTAGCTGCCCGTAAGCCCACAGCAAAAGCTCCAAAAATCATGAGGCCAACAACCAAAAACTTTCCGCAGTTCTTTTGAATGTAACAGCCCAGCCTAAATAAAAGTCTCTGGAACTTCGCTCTCAGCCACAGAGGTGCTTTCCTCCCAGTTGCCTTCCCCTATGATAAGACAAGAGTCCCAGAGTTACTGTCAGTTAACAGACAAAGCACCATACTTACCTGCTCAGGTGAGGCTGTAGGGTTAAAGACAAAAGATTTTATGGTATACATGCAAATAAGCTACAACAATAAATGTGTCCACTTAAAAGAACCTTTACAGTTTTAAAGTACAAGCCTCTCTTTGATCAAAGAATCCCACCTGCTCTCTTTTCAGTAAGACTGCACATTTACCTACAACCGGGGATCTAAAGTCAGAGAGCTGGGATCTTCCAACACATCTACTAAATCCCTCTGCTAACCTTTATTCACTGAAAAACCACAAATCTGCTGGGGATCCTGGGCAGTGCTGAGGACTCCCCAGAGTGCGAGCTACAGGTCCTGTCAGATCAGAATCCTTAGCATAATACATGCACTGGGAAGGTACCAACATTCCCTGTCACTTCACAGCCACAATAACCAGTTGTGAATAATAATAATAATAATAATAATAATAATAATAATAATAATAATAATAATATTAATATATATATAATTTTTTTAATAGTCCAAAATAAGTACATCTGGACCTCCAGAGTAGACACAGGTAAACAGGACATAACTGTCAAACCACAACTACTAAGCAGGCTCCCTTGTGTCTTTGTTCTACTCTTTATGTAAAATGGCCATTGGAAGCACAATACTGCTGTTAGTAGCAGACTATAAGTCTTAAAAGACAGAATAAAATAAAATACTGAATGCACTGTAGACCACATGCTCCCCACTTGACAGAAACTGTTACATTTTGAGGTGTAGTGTAATTGCTACTGAAGTAACCTGCACGCACACATCGCCCGGTGATATTAAATACCCTGAATCGGCGCATGTGGTAAAACCACAAATACCACCACCACGCACTCACACGCGCTCTCCCCGTCTGGCCGCTCGTGTGTTCCGGCCTGCACGGGGAAGTGAAGGAGCTATCACGGGGAGGAATCACAATATTTGTGAACGGAAGAGGGCAGCCACATGGATTCTTTACTTTCCTCCTCTTTACACGAGTCACCCAAGTTTAGACAGTGTCACCGAAACTCTTTAAAGCTTTGGGTGCTCCGCGTAAAAGAAAGGCTGGATGTTATGAAACGGTCAATGGCAGCGTTGCCTGCGAGAGTAAAAGCTGCATGTTTTTTGCCTGGTGCGGGACTGCTCTAGGTTGGGGATGCACTGGAAACAATCGCGTGTTTGTACTGGGGAAACGGGCACTTAGAACTTGCAGCACATCTTTCATCATAAGCCGGTTGCATCGGAAGAGTCGCGTGAAATCAAACACAACTACTTTGCGCTTTTCTGCAACCTTGCCTTACCGCTGTGTACCCCGTGCCCAGCCCGTCCCGTTACCTAGCAGCGACTGGACAGTTTGGCCACATTTTTTTCTTTTCGACGAATACAATGAAAGCAGCATCACAAAGCCTTTTCCCGTTCAAGATGAGAAATAAAAGCACCTCTGAAATCTGCTCCAGAGCAAAGCCCGCATCGCAGTAACTCGGCCGCTGCAAATACTCCAAATCCAGCGGTGTGTTGCGGGTATAGTCCCCCCTGTTCCTCCGCGTTATCCTCGGCCGATCGGGGTCTCTGTTTTCCTGCTCGGAGGGCGCATTACCAGCCGAGGCCATGTTGCGGGGACAGCGATATGGTTTCCCACTTTATAGTATTTCTCCGAAAGCGTGTAGCGATATCCCAAGAGAACAGAGTTTCACTCTCGGAGATCTCACACCCGTGAAGTAGGACTTCATACTCCTGTTGGAGACGGCGAGTCAAAGTCTGCGCCTTCCATCCCAACATTTCGTGATCCGGAGGTCTCCACCGCTTTCACCGCATTCACCGTGTCTCTTAAAAAAGTAAGTTTCTCTCAAAAAGCGAGCTTCGCGAAGTGATTTCCATACACAAGTTGTCGGGTATGAAACCTCGATAGTCGTAGCATTCTGGTGACATCTATGTGGTCTTCCCCTGGGCCGCGCGTCACGGCCAACTCTGAGATTCAATAGAAATGAAGAAAAAGACCTCTCTCCATTTGGAGGCAGAGAAAGAGGAGGGGTGAGAAGAGGAAAAAAATACTCGAGATCCCGCCTCTGGGGCTGTCAGATTGCAGGAGTTTCTTGCATCTGATTGGTTCCAGAAGGGCAGAAATTACTCAGCAAACACGACTATTATTAGCTGCTTAGCAACAGCTCACTAAAGTAGAGAGACCACCCAGGCAGGCAGACCTCATGTGAGCATCTCCAACTTCAGGGGAGGCTCGCCGAGAGTCGAACCCATTTGGTGCATTCAGGTTTTCACGTAGAGCTCCGTTACAATAATGAAGCGTTTCCCCGAGAGGACCCGAAGTCAAATACAAGCTACCCGTTTGTGCATCGGAGGGGGCTTTTTGGCATGTCAGAACTTTAACTATTTTTTTCCCCTCAGATGATCCTCTAACTGGTTCAATGAGAGGGGGGCGGCTTGTAGGCTATACTGTTGTTGCGATCTTTAGAGTCCAACACCGCCAAAATCAGCTCATTAGTGTTTTGTACATATCAAAATACGCCACAGCCTCAGGACCACAGCTCTCTACAAAGCAAAACAAAACCCCTTTGATAAAACGTCTAACTGGGAAAATATTACCTATAGAGAACTGCGATGTGTTTATGCGCAATTACGCATACAAATGCCTAATTATCTCCCCTTTAGTCTAGTGATCCGACAGGGTAGTATCACAGTATTATGGTTATTTAGCTAAAAAAAAATCACATTTCATATAGATGCAGATATACATAAGAACTATTAGTGCATTTACATCTTGCTGCACAGTAAGCAAGCGGATTTTAGGATTTCATTATAATCTCATGTCCTTAAACTGCCAAAGGAGGTAGCATTTATCTATCCGTGCTGCAGGCATAATTTTTATAATTGACTTTATTCTGATATAACTTTTTTCATGAAATAAAGATAAAAACAAATTAATTCAAATAAACAGACATCGGGTCAAAATAATAAGGTTATAATAAGCAAAACAATTAACTCCAGCAGCCACTCTTGGCTCGCCAGAGCATCAGGTGTACTTCACACCTAAGCCATCTAAGCTGACTCTGGGCGTGTGGCTGCCAGCCGAGCTCTTACCATCTTCTGTCCTGGAGGGGAGAACATTCAGAACAAATCCGTGATTTCCCGCTCCTCGGAGAGCGAAACGAGTCAGTTATAATAAAGATAAAAAGGAATGATTAAGTGTTGTGAGGAGAGAAAGAGATGCATCGTAATCTGTCTTGGTCACAGTCAGAATGCTCAGAAAAAAAGTTTACCCAATTATAGGACTGTTCCTTTTTTGGCCACGTTGGTGGTCTCCTTAGCTTCATAGGCAGGACCATTTGATTGTCACGTGATTCGTCGTAAACTGTGCCAATCACGCAGCAGCAGCTTCCAGTATTTTAGGCTTTGGTAATTGAAGGGAAAAAAAAGAAAAAGAGCCCGCAACGCACACCTGTGTACTCTGACATCAAAGAAGTGAATGCAATGCGATATAGAGACGCATGTGCACATGTGGGTACTTAAGGAACAAGCACATAGGATCAAGCATACAGATTGTTTCCATTGATGCATAAGGGACTGTAGATGCTGTACAATAAGGAAACCACAAACAGATTAATACAATCACATGTCCTCAGCCACATAGTCTCAGATTATATTAACTTACAAAGACCGATTTGTGTTACTATCAAAGTAAGTAATTTTACTACCCTTAGTGTCACCCTTGGAGCAAATTACTTTACATTTGGTCTGGACAGAAACTGTCCATTTTACTGGAAATAACATAGCATTCATATAAATGCTTATTTCTGATCTGTCTGTATCATAAATACTAAGATTCTTCTTTGCAGTTAGTATGAAGGTTGGTTGTGATGGAGAAAACCAACCTTAAATATATACAATTTAACTGCCATCAGATACTCCAGGTGTAGTATCAGATACTGCAGGTGTAGCATCCGAGTGAGGGAAAGTGTCCAAGGGGGAACAAAGTTAGGCTGCGATGCCCCCTAATGCTCCTGAGAAGAACCAGGCCTGTGTCAGTGGAACAGGAGGAAGTAGGAGCCGTAAGTGCTGCACAATATCTGTGCTATGCATGTTCAAGTTGTTGTCATGACAGTAACGCTGCAGGACTCCATATATGTGCCTTAGGTCATTGTGGAAAATAGTCCCCCTCCCCCCATTTGAATACTGTAGTTAAAAGTTGTAAAGATATGCCTGTAAAAATGCTCTCGGGAGATTATATTGCAAGCATCTGTGTGAACTAATGAAATACATATGCACAAACAACACTAAAATACCCTAGACCAAACATGAACATATATCATTTTTTATTTATTGACCATTAACATGGATGGGATGCACTAATTGCTGGCTTTAGGAAGGGAGAAATTAATCCAGCTTATTCTGATCTGTAAATGCAGGAAACAGTTTGGATTTCAGATTTTGTAAGATCAACAACTCCATTCAACTTGTAAGGCATGGAGCAACAAACAACAAACTAAAAGGTTTCAGTAGTCACCTTTTCATACTTGTCATCAAAATCAGATTACTCCCCTTTTTGTGACCGAATGTTTAATAAATCTGTATGTAAACATCATTTGTTACATGTCGATCTACAAAGAAATAAGTTAAACTGCTCTTCTGCATCTGCTGTGACACACTCACTGTTCAAAACAATGTCCTACAGAGAGAGTTATCATATTTTTCTTAAATATTTGTTAGCTTTTCTTATGCATTACATTTTTTAAAAATTGTTTCAGAGTTAGTTTGCTTGTTTTACTCAAGTTGATTGTTCGAACTGTTTAACTCTAGGTTCGTTTTTATTATTAATATGTTAAGTTTTGTCAAGAAGACATACTTTAATTTTTATCTAGCCCTCTTTCACAGCCACATGGATTTCTTAATGAGGAAAGGAGATGAAGTATTCATTTAGGTGCTTGAGGTATTGGGCATTGATCCCAGAATGACTTCACCAACAAGTCACCTTTGGTGACCCCTGGCAGGGCCCCTCACACCCCTCAAGGCTGGTTGCTGGCCAGTGGCCATGAGAAAACACTGAAAAACCTTGCTTAGTGCATGCGTTTATTTATGATTTGCAGGTGGATTACAGTTCCAAGCAGAACTGTGCCAAAACATTACTATCCCTGAGTCAAAACAATAGCGTCTTTTTAGCCAGGACCATGGTTATGCTTGATGCAGGGATAAACAAAGATTTCTAATCAATACTATTTCCATTACCCGGCGTTATGGACATACTTTGAATTTTTTTTAACCAGTCCAACCACTGCATTTTTAGTCAACTCGTTTTCTGTCACATCAGTAAACAGTAGCAGTATCCAACCAACCAATAGTTTAAAAAAAGTCTCGTAAATGCAGAAAGTTCATAAATACTCAGTTTAGTTGAGTATTTATGAAGCGTTTGTTTTTTCCAGTCGTTATAAGACTACAGTAAGTGTAAGTCACTTACAGTGAAGTGTATTGAAAAAAAAAAGACCAAAAGGGGCAACAACAACAGAAGAACACCTGTTTATTGAAAACACCTGTTTATTGAAAACAAATGTTCCCAGTTAAGCAAGAACATCCTCTACTTTTGTTTTTCATGCCACTTACAAAAAGTAAAGTGAAGGAAAATCAATATGGATGCGTGGGAGTGAAGGTTTCTTGGTGCTTGAAAGCTTATGTGATATATTCCATTCATGGGCAAAAGTGTTGTTTATACGTCCAATTTAGCTTTAGCAGCATTACACTGATTGTTAACCAAAACAAAACAAAAAGAAAACAGGTATTGCAAAATGTGTAAATGCCCCTAACATGACTGCTTGTTTTCTTGTATGCCCTTATGCACACATTGCTGTGACTATGATAATCATATGTTGTTTTCTAGGTTTTGCCCCAAACTTCTAACCAAGTTGAGTAGTTTGCTGTTGAACCATGGGAACTTTGCTTATAGAACAGCCAACACAGTAAACAACAAGACAATAACAGAGGTTTGATACAAAATCCTGGCTAGCCAAACCTTGAAAAAGAAAACAAAGCTTTGTTTCAACCATCTTTTGTAAACATAAATAAAGAGTAACATTCTGGTTTTGTTCTGACCTATATCGTAATGCCTAAAGGGGACCAGCTACGCCCTTTTCTATATCTACTCGGCCTTAGAGCTGCTCATCAAATCATCCACCGTCCATTGTCTACTGGCTTTTCGCAAAATTCAAAAGAGCCCACCCACCACTTTAATCACAGTCGCATCTTTTTCTAACATATGCCATAGAAATGGAATATTTAACAGTATTCCCAAAAAGCCTATTTTTTCTGACTGTTTTCTTAATGACATTTACATTTACAACAATGGTTTTCACAGCAGTGGGGAATAAATTTCATTACAGTAGATTTCTTTCTGAAAGTGCTGTAACTAAGTTTAAGGATATAATTATATATGATAGCCTTGAGGAAAACGATTGTTTTGATTTGGCGCTGTATAAATAAAATTGAATTGAACTAAAAGAGTTTTTGATCTGCGGTTGATTTTATTAGTTTAGTTTCCTAGTGTCTATCTTTCCTCTATCTCATCCATGTGTTTGTACAGCTGTCTTCCCAGTTCATTTTGGTAACTATTTTTTTATGTGTGTTTCTGTGCACAGGCCTGTGCAGCAGGATAAAGTGCTGTGATACGATGGGCTGTATCACCGTGCTAACTTATACTGCAATGGTTAGGTTCTAGATTAGAGAGGAACATGTGCAAAATCACCACCTACTGACCAATAAATTCTCCTGAAAAACTGCATCATTACTCCTGCATAGATAGTAGCAGAGTCTAAAGTTTTTCAATAGCATCTCATGTCTTTGCATTTCCCTGATGAAAATTCTTAGATGCAACCTTGTTGTTTGATTTTTTTCCTCCCAATTTTCCGCTAACAATCTTACAAAAATATTATTGTTCTACAAGCGTTAATATATGATCCTAAAACAGAGCTGCTATTTGTACTTGTGGACTTTAA